CATGGGACACAGGAAGAAGATAACCAGAAGAACCTGGAAGAAAAGGAATCGAGAATACACAAAGACTTTCCCCAGTCACTTGGCAGGTTTTCACTACAACTTTATCAAGAGAAAGTAGAGATTTGCATCAGCACCTCATTACACAGATGACCTTCACAAGACCTTCAACTTGAGGCTTAATTAGATCCAGGGGAAAGGTTGCGGGTAAAATGTGATAAGTTAGGTTTTATTTCTGGAAAACCATTAGAATCAATAAAAATACGAAAATAATCACAAGAATACATAAAGAAACACAAATGTAAGCTTTTTGTGTGGACATTTCTTATGTTAAACACTTAAGTTTTGTTTCTGCACGTACTAGTCTTGTTGAATCAATGAAGTTTGTGAAAGGGTTTAGTCTTTTTACCTCAACATAACCATTAGAAAACATTTAGGCCGGGCTCGGTGGCTCAGCCTGTAATGCCGCACTTTGGGAGGCCGAGATGAGTGGATTGCCTGAGTCTGCGGGTTCGAGACCCACCTGGGCAACTTGGCGAACCCTTACCTCTACAATAAATCAAAAAATCAGCCAGGCATGGTAGCCCATGCCTTTAATTCCAGCTACTAGGAAGGCTGAGGTGGAAGGATCGCCGGAGCCCAGCAGGTCGAGGCTGCGGTGGCCGGGAGCGGCCACTGCACTCTGGTCTGGGCGACAGGGTGAGACTCCAACTCAAAAAATAAAAATAAAAAAAACCTGTAGCATGCCAGATGCAGTGGCTCACGCTTGTAATCCCAGCACTTGGGAGGCCGAGATAAAAGGATTGCCTGAGCCCAAGAATTTGAGAACAACTTGGACAGCATAGCAAGACCTCGTCCCTACAAAAAATTTGAAAATGAGCTGGGCATGGTGAAACTGTAGTTACAGCTACTCAGGAGGCTGAGATTGGAGGCTAGCTTGGGCCCAGGCGGTCAAGTTGGCAGTGAGCTATGATCGTGCCACTGCACTCCAGTCTTGCAACAGAGCAAGACCCCAACTATTTTAAAAAACGATGTCCACAAAATATTTCTTAGACAGTTACTTTATTTCCAGACCCTTGGTAAAGATCAGGGAACAATGGCAAACAAAACACATATAATCAACATGGTATACTTCAGTTGTCCTTACTGACTGGGGAGACGGATTGCTAAATCTTCAGAACGTTTGCGAGGCAGTTCTTAACACAGCCTTTATTAAAAATTAAATTCACTAGCCTGGCTGGGCTCGGTGGCTCAGCCTGTAATCCCAGCACCTGGGGAGACCAAGGTGAGAGGATTGCCTGAGCCTGCAGGTTCGCGACCAGCCCGGGCAAATTGATGAGATACGTCTCTACAATAAATTAAAAAAAAAAAAAATAGCCAGGTATGGTAGTGCAAGCCTGTAGTTCCGGCTACTTGGAAGGCTGAGATGGAAGGTTCACCGGAGCCCAGCAGGTTGACGTTGGGGTGGCCGTGAGTGTGCCACTGCACTCTAGACTGGGTGATGGAGTGAGACTCCAACTCAAAAAAAAAAAAAATTACTAGACTGGCCAACACAGTGAGAGCTTGCCTCTACAAAAATAAAAATAAAAAAATAAAATAAAATTAGCCAGGCATTGGTGGCACCCATAGTCCCAGCAACTTGAGAGGCTGAGGCAGGAGGATCGCCTGAGCCCAGTAGATGAAGGCTGCGGTGACTGTGATTGTGCCACTGCATTCCAGTCTGAGCCACAGAGTGAGACCCTGACTCAAAAAATTTTTTTTAATTCAATTAACGTAAAGATTCAAAATGGAACTTACAATGGATACATTATACTAAAAAAAACAGGAAATACTCATCATCACTTGCACATTATTGTACTCCATCTGCCTATACTGCCCTTACAGATGTTTGTGAGTATCGATTTGGGATCCCAGAAATGCTGAGGAAAGGTGCTACTGCCCAGCTCTGCCCAACTCCCTGCTTAAGGATGGCCATTGGCAGCCGGAAATTGACCTGGAAGGAATGTTTACACCATGGAAATTGGCGGCCATGCAGAACATTGCTCTATGTAGTCTTTGCCCCACTGAGCATAGGGCCCAGCGGGGGGAGCTGGCATGTGAACTGAACATGCAGAGGTGGGCTGCAGAGGCCGGGTCAGTGTTGGCACCCCAGGAAGGCACCCACACGAGCCAGCGATTCGTGGCTTCTCTAAATGCAAATGCAGCCAGACAGTCGGGCTCTGCTGTTGTTTGGCTTTGTGTTTGCTAAATCGGGGAGCCCTGTCCAGTGTGAACCTGAATTCTGAGACCTTCCCCCACCAGCCACTTCCCTGTGTGGCCTCGGGCCAACTGTCAGACGAACCTCGGTTTCTCTCTCCATAAAGTGGGAGTGGTGCTCTCCTCTGCAGGTCTGCAAGCTCCCGGGTAAAACCCACTGGAGATTGGGGGGCAGGGAGGGGTTCCCTGAAGAGGGGCTGTTTATGCTGAGACACAGAGGGTGGGAAGGAGGGGAGGAGGGACTACAGGAACCTGCAGGAAGCCAGTGTGGCTACAACACGAAGGCGAAGTTCATTCTAGATAAAGTAGAGGCGGTGAGCAGGGGCCAGACACGCAGGACCACGTGGCAAGCCTCTGGCACTTTGTTTGTTTGTTTGTTTGTTTACTTACTTAGAACTCTGTTGCCAGGCGGCAGTGCAGTGACACGATCATGACAGCCACACTCGTGACAGCCTCGACCTCCTGGGCTCAGGTGATCCTCTCACCTCAGCCTCCCGAACTACCGAACTACCGGTGCATGACACCACACCCAGCTAGTGTTTTGATTATTTTGTAGAAATGAGGTTTTGTTATGTTGCCCGGGCTGGTCTTGAGCTCCTGGGCTCAAGCCATCCTCCCACCTCAGCCTCCCAAAGTGCAGGGATGACAGGCGTGAGCCACTGCATCCAGCTGACTCTGGCACTTTTTAAACCTAGCACATGGGAGCCGGGTGAAGTGGCTCACGTCTGTCAGCCCAGCACTTGGGAGACAGTGGTGAGAGGATTGCCTGAGTCCAGGGATTTGAGACCAGCCTGAGCAACGTGGTGAGATCTTGTCTCCATAATAAATCAAAAAATTATCTGGGTGTGGTGGCGCGTGCCTGTGTTTGCAGCTACTTGGAAGGCTGTGGTGGAAGGATTGCCGGAGCGCAGTAGGTCGAGGCTGCGGTGGCCGGGAGCATCCTCACGTGTGAGTCACAAGCGGAGCTGCATTCACACCCAGGTCGATCAGAGGCCCCTGGGAGCAGTGCCCCTTGTCCTGACCGCCCTCCACCCCCAGAGTGCTCACCCGCTGCTGAGCCCCCAGCCCGCCCCTGGTCTTACCTGAGACTGTGGAGCTGAGGAAGATGGCCACCCCGCTGGGTGGAGGCGCTGGGAGGGGGCCTGCCTGGCCCTGGAGAAGCCGCCGGCAGGTGCTGGGACTGAGGGGACCCACGCTCATTGCTGCCCGCCCACAGATGATCCTTCCCCGAGAGGGCCTGGGACTCAAAAACCTCACGCCAGTGGCCGGGTGACCTTCCCGAGAGGCCAGCCGGGTGAGGGTCCTGTCTCACCTGCCAGGTCCCCTCAGGGACCCAACACTCCACCCCTCCTGCACCCACCCTGCTGTCCTTGGCCTGCAGGCGTGGTGGGGGTTGTTGGAAGGTGGCCTCCCACCAGGGCCCTAATGTTGTTGCCCCTCCAGGCTCGGAGCCGCCTCCCAGCACTCTGAGAGCGAGGCGGTCACCACAGCAACGGTGGTTTCCTGGCACTCGCGCGGGGCCGGGGACCAGCCAGCCTCTCGTGCACCTGGGTCTCCTGGGACCTCCACGTAAGTTGATCCTGGGCCCAGGTGTGCAAAGGGAGACTCTGGGAGCCATGCCTGGCCCCGGCAGTCCAGACTTGGAGGACAAACACGTGGTGAGGCTCCCGCCCGTCTGGTGCTTCCCGCCCCCCAACGAGGGGACCCTTCACCGAGGGAACCACACATGCCATCAACCAGTGGCTCCCACCTGGAGCCTCTTTGCCCCCGGTGGACACTTGCAATGTCTGGAGACATTTTCTTTCTTTCTTTTTTTTTTTTTGAGTTGGAGTCTCACTCTGTCGCCCAGAGTGTTGTGCAGTGGCCGCTCCCGGCCACCGCAGTCTCGACCTGCTGGGCTCCGGCGATCCTTCCACCTCAGCCTTCCGAGTA